AGTTCTGCTTTTTAAGCATATATATATATACACACACATATATATGTATGTATGTATGTGTGTATGTATATTCTTCCCTCTTTGAACCAATTTCAATGACAGTGAGGTTCAAGCATTGCTTGCTTCTCCTGCCTTGACCAATTTTAACCTTTACTATAAAAGCTCTTCCTTGGGTGTCTCTTTTATGTGAGAAAATTTTTCCTATTCTATCTTCCCCTTCCCCCTTCTCCCAGTGCATCCCTCTTTCTCATCCCTTCATTTGTTTTTAGATTATCCCAATATAATCAACTCACACCCCTGTCTTCTGTTTATGGAGACTCTTTCTAATTGCTTTAATAATGATAAAGTTCTTAAGAGTTATATGTGTTATATTCCCATATTAGAATGTAAATAGTATAACTTTATTGAGTCTTTTATGATTACTCTTTCATGTTGACCTTTTTATGCTTCTCTTGAGTCTTGTGTTTGAATGACAAATTTTCTGTTCAGCTCTGGTCTTTTCATCAGGAATGCTTGAAGGTCCTCTATATTATTAAATATCCATTTTCCCCCCAGAAGGATTATACTTGATTTTGCTCTGTAGGTTTTTCTTGGTTGTAATCCTAGATTTTTTTGCTTCCAGAATATCATATTCCAAGCCCTCCACTCCTTTAACATGTAAGCCACTAAAATCTTGCATGATCTTGACTTTAGCTCCACAATATTTGAATCATTTCTTTTTGACTGCTTGCAATATTTTCTACTTGACTTGAGAGCTCTGGGATTTGGCTATAATATCCTGGGAGTTTTCCTTGGATCTCTTTCAGGTGATGATCAAAGGATTCTTTCAATTTTATTGAACCCTCTGAATCTAAGGTACCAGGGCAGCTTTCCTTGATAATTTCTTGAAATATAATGTCTAGGCTCTTTTTTGATGATAGCTTTCAGGTATCCAATAATTCTTAAATTATCTTTCCTTTATTTTATAGGTCAGTTGTTTTTCTAATGATATATATCTTCTATTTTTTTCATTCTTTTGGTTTTGTTTTATTTTTTTCTTGATGTCTTATGGAGTCATTAGTTTCTATATTTGCCCAATCCTAATTTTTAAGGAATTATTTTCTTCAGTGAGTTTTTGTACCTCTTTTTCCATTTGGTCAGTTCTGCTTTTTAAGGAGTTCTTTTCTTCAGTGTTTTTTGTGCTTCTTTTACCAAGCTGTTAATTCTCTTTTCAAAATTTTCTTACATTACTTTTATTTCTTTTCCCAGTTTTTCTTCTACCACTCTTATCTCTTTCTTGAACTATTCCAGAAATGCTTGGATCGAATTAGCATTTTTTTTTTTGTTGCTTTGCTTGTAGCTCTTTTCATGCTGTCTTCTTCTGAATTTGAGTCCCTTGCCACTGTAGTAGATTTTTATGATCAAGTTTCTTTTAAAAAATTTTGTTCATTTTCCTAGACTACTTCTTCATGTCTTCACTTTGAACTTTATGTTAAAGTTGGGCTTTGTTCACCTAGAAGTGGAGAAAAAGCACTGTTCCAAGCTTCAGGCTTTTTCATGCTGCTGTTTTCAGAGCTAGGTCTGGGGCCTCTGCAAGTTTTTGGTAATTTCAAGATAGTATGATCTGGGGAGAAGTGTGGTCACTGCTCTCTGGTCTATGTTCTGGTTTTTATTTAGGAAGTGCCCCTGCTCCCCTTCAGCTGCAAGTGCTAACACCTCTTTTGGCCCTAGAACTGTGACCAGGCCCCCTCCTCTCCTGCAGCCTCAAGCACTAGTTCTCCTCTGTGTCTTGGAACTGTGACCAGGGTCCCTTGTGGTTACTAACCACAAGTATTCTTCTTTGCCCTGGAACTATGACCCAGAACTTTGTGTGGGCTATAGAGTCTCCAATCCATGCCAACTGCACCCAGTGCCAGCAAAAGTCCCCTTCAATCTCTTCCTGACCATTTCTCCAACCTTCTTACCATCTCTTGGCTGAAAGCTCCTAATGCTACTTCTGCTGCTTGCAGCTGCTTCTACAGCCAACATCTGGTGCTCCTATAGCAAGCAACCTAGGCCAGCCCCAAACCCAGTGTTACAGACCTCTCCTTTTGACCTCCTAAGTTGTATTAGGCTAGAAAAATTTCTCATTCTCACCTTTTGTTGTCTCTGCCACTCCAAAATTTGGTTTGCACAGTTTAAAAGTTGTTTGGAAGGAAATATTGGGAGAGTTCAGCTGGGTTGCTGCCTGTGCTCTGCCATCTTGGCTTCCTCAATAAATACCACACTCTCTCATTAGGTTCCCAGAGTACTAGCTACATCTCCTCCTCAGGGCTCTAGGTTAAAAACCTCTGCTTTATATTATCTCGCTTGGTGATTTCATCAGCTCCTGTGGATTCAATTATCATCTCTATGCAGATCATTCTCAGATCTATTTATACAGCCCTTAACCTCTCTTCTGATCTCCAGTTTCATATCACCAACTGCTTTTTGGATATTTCACACTGAATATTCCCATAAGCATCTCAAACTCAACATGACCAAAATAGACTCGTTACTTCCCCCCAAAAACCCTCCCTTCTTTTGTACTTCCCTATTACAGTAAAGAGTACCACCATTCTTCCAGTCACTTAAGCTCAATATACCAGCGTTATCCTCAGCTCTTCACTCTCTCACTCCACCTATCTAATCTCTCTCCACATCTTGTTTGTCCCATCTCATCTCTCCTGTATGCACCTTTCTCTCCACTCAAACAGCAGGCACCTTAGCACAGTCCTTGCTTACCTCACAGCTGGACTATTCAATCCCATGTGCGGTCACGACCCACAATTTAAGAAGCACTGAAGGGGTTGCAAGTGGAAAAGTTTAAGAAGCCCTGGCTAAGTGATCTTGCTTAAAAAAAAAAAATACAGTTTTGACTGTGTTACTTCCCTACTCAGACTCCAGTGGCTTCATATCACCTTCAGGATCAAATATAAAACCCTCTATATTTCTTTTAAAGCCCTTCACAATCTGGTCCCTTTCTACTTTTCCAGTCTTCTTACATCTTACTACCCTCAAAATACTCTAATCCAGTGACACTAGCCTTTTTGCTGTTCCTCACAAGCAACACTCCAGCTCCAGGCATTTTCACTGAGTATTCCCCATTCCTAGAACGCCCTCCCTGCTCACCTCTACCTTCTGATTTTCCTGACTTCCTTTAAGACCCGGTTCAACGGGCAGTTAGGTGGCATAGTGGATAGAGCACCACCATAAAATCAGGAGGACCTGAGTTCAAATCTGGCCTCAGACCAAACACTTGACAGCTACTAACTGTATGACCCTGGGTAAGTCACTTAACCCCAATTGCAAAAAAAAAAAAAAGACCCAATTCAAATCCCACCTTCTACAAGAGACTTCTCCCAGCCCTCATCTTACTTCTGAGATTACATTGGTTGTATATATCTTATATGTACACAGTTTTTTGTATCTTGTCTCCTCTTATTAGAATATGAACTCCTTGAAGGCAGGGATCATATTTTTATTTTTCTTTGCATGCCATCACTTAGCACAGTGACTAGCACATAGTAAGTATTTAAGAAATGTTATGTGCTATTTTTGTTGATAAAGAAGGAAGGAAGGCAGGAGGAAGGGAAGAAGGGAGGGAGGGAGGGAGGGAGGGAGGAAGGAAGAAAGGGGAAGGGAAGGGAAGGGAAAGGAAAAGAAGGAGAGAGGGAGGGAGGAGAGGGAAGGAGGAAGAGTTCCTAGGGTCAAATGTTAAGCTAAATTAAATTTGTTCCTTACTATTAGTGTCACCTTGGGCAAATCACTTTACCTTTCTGGGTCTCAGTTTCCTCATCTGTAAAATGAAGGGGTTGGACTCAATGATCTTTAAATTCCTTCCAAGTTCATCAGTCTGTGATTTTATGATCCCTTCAAGCTTTAAATCATATGATCTTAGGAAATTTAATTCAATTTAACACGTATTTATTAAAGACTTACCAATACTAGATACCATGCAGGGTGGCTGAATTCACATTAGCTTATCACACCTCATGTTCTGAGACCAGTGCCTGAAAACAGGGTAACAACAAGAGTGCAGCAAGTATGAGCTACTTACAGCCGTCACTCACACAGTGCTTTCAACTTTGCAAAGCGCTTTCACACGTTATCTCATTTGAGTCTCCCAACAGCCCTGGCCTTTCCGACTTTTTTCAAATTCCAGCTAAAATCCCACCTTCTACAGGAAGCCTTTCCCAGTCTCTTTTAATTCTAGTGCCTTTCCTCTGTTGATTAGCTCCAATTTATCCTATATGCATCCTTTTGGGCAGCTAGGTGGCACAGTACATAGAGTACCAGCCCTGTCAAATCCAGCCTCGGATACTAGCTGTGTGACACTGGGCAAGTCACTTAACTCTGTTTGCCTCAGTTTCCTCATCTATAAAGTGAACTGGAGAAGGAAATGGCAAACTATTCTCCAGTACCTTTGCCAAGAAAACCCCATGGAGAGACAGACATGACTGAAAAGACTCAACAACAACAACAACAACAACAACAAATATCCATTTTTGTGTAGTTATTTGCCTATTATTCGAATGAAATAACTGAATGACAATTGCCTGTTAACTCCTCCATTAGACTGAGAGAACTCCTTGAGAGCAAGGGACTGTGTCTCCTTTTTCTTTGTATCCCTAGCACTTAGCCCAGTGCCCAGCACCAAGGAGGTGCTTAATAAATACTTATTGCTTATTTGAATAACTACAGGTATTACTATCCTCATCTTACAAAGAGCAAACAGGATCACAGAAGTTGTATTATTTGCCCAGCATCACTCAGTAAGTATTTTGAACATGGGTGTTCTGACTCTCAGTCTATTACTCTATACATTCAGCTAGAGTGATTCTCTGCCATTGGGGCAGACCATGGAAAGGGTGAGTGATGGATGGCCATGAGAGCTTGAGAATCTCCCATTGTACCAATTGGGAGCTGCAGCACATAGTTTGTTATTTTCCTTTCCTTCCCCCCATGATATATCTCATTTATTTCCCTCTTCCCCACCCCAGGATTCCCACTCACTGGACACAGCAATTCAGAGCACCCTCGCATCCCTCTACCCTCCCTTTGAAGCCACAGCTCCAACCATCCTTGGCCAAGTGTTCCGCCTCCTGGACATTCACTACCAGGGAGATGGGCTCTGCTGCCTCCTGGATTTCTTGATACCTGCCAAACGGCTTTTTGAGCAAGTCCGGGAAGCAGCCTGTGTAAGTCAAGGAAGGGGGGTGGGGGGATAGGAGATAACCAGCTTTGGATCTCCTGAGCTCATGAGACACCTGGGCATCTGAGTGGAGCGCTTACAGAATGCAATTAGGAATCTTTCCCATTCCACTCTCTAGCAGTAGTGCTTAAAATGAAAGAAATAAAAGTACAATGACTTAGGTCTCACTGTAGGGGAAATGAGGAAATAAGATGTTATACACTATGTTGGTGGGAGAAATATGCCAATGAGATGGATGTGTCTTCTGTCAGTGGAAGCAGTTAGAAAATGATGGTGATTGTGCCCTATGCTGAGAGAAGAAAGACATGATATTGGAAAGAGCACTGCTTTTGGAGTCACAAGACATGGATTCAATTCTTGATTGTGCCATATATTAGCTGTGTGACCTTGAACAATCAATTTTCCTTCTCTGGATTTTGTGTATAAAATGTAGGGATAGAACCAGATAAGGGATAAGTTGAGAAGCTGGATTTCCTTGACATGTCTGCCTTCCAAAATCTGTTCTGTTCTCTCTCCTCTCCCTTCCCCTCCTCTGCCCTCCTCTCCTCTTCTCATACTTCTGTCTTCTCTTCCTCCTCCTCTTTCTTCTTCTTCTTCTTCTTCTTCTTTTCTCTCTCTCTGTCTTTGTCTCTCTCCATCTCTATCTCTCTCTGTCTCTGCCTCTGTCTCTCTGTCTCTGTCTCTCTGTCTCTTTCCCCCTCTCTCTGAAAAGCATTGCAGCCACATGTGTCCTTTCTCAGATCAGGAAAAAGAAATGTCACTCCTCTCCCAAGCTCTCACACCAACTCCATCCCAAATTCAGGCTTGTAGAGGTTAAGTCATCATTCTTTCCACCAAGGAGGAGAATCTTATGCAAATGTTTCAGGCTTGAACCTGGGTTATACAAGAAATAAGGAAATAGGAAGGTTGTGTCTTTTGTCAGTGGAAAAAGTAAGACTGTGTGCTCTGAGTCAGTGGAAGAAATAAGTGAAATGGTTGTTTGTTATGTAAAGGGAAGGATTAAGGAAGTGGGATAATATGCTTCAATTCCATCACAGAAATAAGGAAATAGGATAGGTTAGCATTGGCCATATTACTTTCAGACAGGTCTCCTGAGTAATGATGATTCTAATTTTGGGCTGCCATGACAACTTCTTCATCTTGCTTTGACCTCTCCCCACACCAATTATTTTGTACTTTGATTTTTGGGGGGAGGGGTGAGAACAGGGAAGGAAGGAGGGGTGGGGGGGAGGAGGAGAGGAAGGAAAAATGGCACCAGTGCCCTAAGTCCTTGGAAGCCCTGACACATGGTCTAGCATCATGGGAATTTGCCTTTCTGCTCAGGGAAGGTCATCCCACCCAGATGGAAATACTAGAGAGAGCATTTCAGAGCATCTCAAAGTGTTTCTAGTTCCAGTGGCCAGCATAGCTGACTCATCCCTCCCGAGTTAGCTTTCAATCCAGAGCCTTACCAGGCTCCCTGGCTGTGGCAAGATTCAAGGGGAAACAAGCCCACATACTCTGTGTGTCTGCCAACTGTTCTGTGTCATTTTTTAATATTTATTAAGCACCAGAAGAGAAAAAAAATCAGAGACCCAGCCTGATGAGTCCCACCCACACCGCTCCAGTAATAATAAATGGCAACTGTAGCCATCACAAAAGAATTTTTGGAGCCAGTAACTTTTCCTCCACTATTTGCCATGCACTAAATGCATGCAGAACCAGTGTGCCCAACTGTGAAGCCTGAAGGGAAACTGCTCTTTGATGGTGAATTGGAGATTTGTAGAGCAAAGCACCTGTCCCCCAAATCAAAAACAGGCTCTGGGTGAGATGAATTAGTCTGAGATTAATCCTTTGAATTTCTGAAATGTCTCCTTTTCTCTTATCTCTCCCCTTCCGCCTTTCCTCACCTAGTCCAGTCTCTTTGCCATAGTCATCTATCTCCTCATCTGGTCCTTCCCCTGCTTTCCCTGTGGGTCTGTGTTTGATAATGATAACAACAGCTAACATTTATGTAACACCCACTATGTGCCAGGCACCGTGCTAAGCTCTTTACAAATATTCTCCCATTTGATCCTCACAACAGGCCCCCTTGGGAGGTGCTATTATTGTCCCCTTTTTTGCATACAAGGGAACTGAAACAGACAAATTAAAGGACTTACCCAAGGTCACACAGCTAGTAAGTGTCTGAGGCCAGATCTGAACTCGGTTCTTCTTGACTCTGGGCCATGTGGGGGCAGCTGGGTGGCACAGTAGAGAGAGCACTGGGAATGTAATGCTTCGATACTAGAAGTTGGGCGGATAGCAGGAATGGATTTTGGTGCAGAAGTCCACACCTCAACTGGGGCTCACAGGGCTATGAAGGCTTTTAAAGGTGATAGTTTTCTCACCTTACAAGGTTTCCCTCTAGCTCCATTGCAAAGGCTGAGCTAATACTGTGACTAGGGCTTTCATCTTTGGAGCAGAATCTTTAGGGGGACTACCTATAAGACCATGTAACCTAAATTTGTAAGTTAAGTTTAGAAGCCTTACCTCTAAAAATCTTTGCTATAGTAATTGTTTGTAAACAGGAATATATTTTGAAATGTGCTGCTAGAAAACGAGTGTAGAGAAAAATAGTTTTAAGGGCATTCAGAGCAGAGGGAGTTAGGGTCAAACATGAGAAATCACAGCCTACATTAGGCAAACGATCTGAGAAACAGAAGGACAAAGCCCTTGGCGAGAGGGCTGTTTTTTACATTTGATGCAAGCTGCTGAACTGTCTTGGACTGCCAAGTGGGGGAGAAAGTTTTGCCCCTCTAAATTTGAGCACCTCAGGCAATATTCCACTTGCCTCACCTCAGTTTTGGTTCCAGATAATACTGTGTCATCAAGTTAGCACTAGTTGTCTTTGAAAACACTTTCTGTGTCCTGTTCCTTTAAATAGATTTATCATAAGGTAGCAACCAACAACAAGAGACAATATGGCAGACATGATAGCAATAAAATCCGGAAAAATATACAGAAACAAAAAAAAAGGTCAGAAGGGACCATATAAACAAACAGAACAATTGTGTTCCCATCTTTTCCAAATTAATATAAATATTGCTTTTAAACAAACTGTAAATTGTGGAAGTTTGAGGTTTCACAAATAATTTTATTCTAGTTCCTTTTTGCATATTTGAATTTGTGTTGATAGCTACTTTTTCGCTCTGTGAAGGCCTGGGATTGCATCAGCATAGGGCACTGCCCTCTGCTATGGAAGATTAACAAATAGTCCACCACTTGGAGTCTTCCAGCAGAGATTTCTAGCTTTTCCTATGGCATGGACTCCACTGCCAGCTGATAAAGTCTTTGAGCCCTTTCTCAGAATAATGTTTCTAAATGTATAAAATAAAATACATTGGAAGGAAGCAAGCGTTTACTAAGTGCACACTATTTGCCAGGTACTATGCTAAAACACTTTACAAATATTACCTGAGTTGATCTCACAACAACCCTGTGAGATAGATGTTGTTATTTCCCCCGTTTTATAGTCAAGGAAACTGAGGCAAACAAGTGACTTGCTCAGGATCACAAAGCTAGTAGCTATGTGAGGCAGGATTTCAAATCAGGTCTCCCTGACTCCAGGCCCAGTACTCGATCCATTGCACCACCTAGCTGCCTCAATAGGATTATGTAATATAATGATAGGGCAGCTAGGTACTACAGTGGATAGAGCACTTGTCTGGAGTTGTGAAGATCTAAGCTCAAATCTGGACTCAGACACTTTCTAGCTGTGTGACCTTGAACAAGTCATTTAAACCTGTTTGCCTCAGTTTCCTCATCTGTAAAAAATGAGCTGGAGAAGGAAATGGCAAGTCACTCCAGTCTTTTAGCCAAGACAACTCCAAATGGGGTCACAAAGAGTCTGAAATGACTGTAAAATGACTGAACGACAACAATAATATGATAGAATTATGAAGGAACCAATTGTGTTGAAATACATTTATTAAGATTATATATGTATATGTGTATGTATATATATACATATATACATACATACACACACACACATATATATATAAATTTAAACAAGTTCACAAGTTCACAGACCTCCAAGCTAAGAAATTTGTCTTAGAGAGTTGCCTGGGGAATGGATAGGGTAAGTGACTTAACCACGGTCATGATGGGTCAGAGGCAAGATTTAAACCCAGTCCTAGTTCAAGCCCTGCAGCATCTGTGGCTTCCTGGATGCTAGAGAGGGTTGTGGGGGAGAAGGGGAATGAACCATCAACACATTCAAATGGACAAACAAGGACAAAAAAAGATTGCATTACAATCTTATACTTCCATTATTCACATTTTCCTTAAAATAAAAATTTATTTTAATTTGAATGAAATAGAAAAGCCATGGTCCTGTTCCTCCTGACCCCACTCTGGACTTTTTTAAACTTCTGTAAGACCATCTACAATAGGATCCTCCACTTCCTGTCCTCTCACTCTAGCCCTGAAACTGTTCTCTCCAAAGTTACCAGTAAACTCCTAAGTGCCAAATCCAGCAGCCTTTTCTCAATCCTTCTCCTTCCTGATGACCTTGCAGCCTTCGTCACTGTTGCTCAGCCTCTTTTCCTTGATACTCCCATCTCTCTAGGTCATTGTGACACTGTTCTGTCCTGGTTCTTCTCCTATCATCTGAGTGCTCCTTCCCAATCTCTTTTGCTGGATCTTTATCCAGGCCCCTGTGCACAGGCTCACAGGACTCTGGCCCATGAACAGTAAAAGCTGTTCCTCTTCCTGCTCTGCTGCTAGTGGTCTTACACAGGCTGGGTGAGCATCTGCAGGAATAATAGGGGGTAGCTGATTGGCTCATGGCACAGAAAGAATACCATGTTCAGATGTCTATAGTAGTCTCAATAATATCCCTAGCCTCAGAATGTTGCTGGCCATCAGCTCACTACCTGTGGTCCAGAAGCACAGGGAGTAGACACTGGCTGACCTTCAAGGCCCAACCACAGATTTTCTCAACAAATTATGTAGCAGGTGGTC